TCGTACTGTAATTAAATATCCTAGTAATAAAAATGATTAATAATCACTAAAAGTTGATAAGTAATTAAAAAAAAAATTAAATATGTTCAAATAATTATTATAAATGTGTGAAGTAAATAATATCATTCATATTTTATATTGCAACGACTTCGTCGCACAAAACCCTTATGTATCTTTACAAGAAGTAAACAAAACATTCTCGACCGGAGTTAATGAATAAAATCTTAATTCGTATTTTTCAAAATCATATAAAATACCATTGCAATTTCAATACATCGTTTTCATTGTAATTTTTGAAAATTTCTGTTGATTTTTAAGCAATTTTTTAAAAATTTCAAAATAATTTGGACTGCTAAGAAAATTTTGAAATTTGTTGCAAATGTTGAAATCCCTGGACTAGCCTCCTTGTTTCTTGCTTAATTCTAATCGGATGATACGTACTCTTACAAATTGCTGTTTTTACACTTTTTACTCCGGATCTTTCCAACGGCTCTACCTACCTTTGCTAAAATTTTCTAGTCCACCGAAATCGTGGACAAAAAATTGATTTACGTCAAAAAAAAACATCGCTCTTTGGAATCAGATAAACATAATTTTAAACATTTATTGACACTTAATGGTATTATTCATACACACCCTGTAGATTTTTGCTTAATAAAAGATTTGATAAAAAAGAGAGAATTAATATTGTGGTTAATACATAATTTTAAGATGTAAATAAATATTCATTAACTTACCGTAGGGCAAAAACATCGAAAATGAAAATTTTATAATCTTTACGTTTTAAAGTTTCTGAACATTTTGGCACACCTTAAAAAAATTGATGTATGCGTGTGTGTATGTGTGTGTGTATACAATTTTCGTCGACGATTTCGGGAACACGGATCAACCGATATGAATAATTAAAAAAAACATTCGATTCGTATTGATAAGGAGACGTGCTGATTAGCTTTTGGGAAAGGCAGGCCAAGCCGTTTCGAAGATACGAGACAAAAAGTGCCAAAAACGGTAACTCAGTTTTTAAGAGAACGGTGAAAAAAAACTTTTCCAAAATTTTGGGAAAGCATGTCTAGCGGTTATGGGCTCTCAATAAAAATAAGTAAAATTGCCTTTTGGCGGTCAAAAATGATCATTAGACATATGCACATCAAATTATCAGATAATTTATAGAGATTTTCAAAATGTGTACACATTTTGTGTAAATTTTATTGGGTTCCGTACCAAGATTTTTAATTACGGTACGGGAAGTTCCAGCAATTAAGGCACGATGTCATACACCCCACTAGTTGTATTCAATAATGTGCATCTTTAGATAATATTAATTAAATTGTGTCGAAGCACTGGAAATTTTGAAATCTAATTTGTACTTGCATTTGAGTATATGTGGAAATCATAATGCAAGTACAAATTAGTTCTCAAAACTTTTAGTTACTGAAGATAAAATAAAATTAGGAGGACGATATTAGATTTTCTAGTTTATCTATTTTTTTATAAAATCAATAATATGGTCATTTTCTTAATGTTTTTTCCTCTTCCATGCTCCGATGTAAATTGATTTCCTCACTCTGGATGATTATCCGAAAACAGAGAGCTCATAATTAAATTTACGTATCACTATAATTATCCGTTTCCCCGCCATTCCCTGCTATCACATGTTTATTTATTCCCTGTATAATCGCTCACAACAGGCGAAATGCATACACACAATTTCCGCAGATAATACAATCTTTTGTGAGCGCGAAATGCGATCAGTGAATCGCAACTTAGCATAATTTTCTATTCAAATGAATCCCATAGTGTATTCCGTCTGTCTATTCATAAAGTATCCTTGAATAAAACCGAAAAACGAGTATATATTCAATGTCGGTGATGTAGCGAACATCGAAAATATGCTGTAGTTGGCTTTACAAGACTTGCAGTTCTGATTGTGATAAATATATCTGTATCATTGAGTTTCAGGATCATGTGTTCTTTGAATATGAACGAAATAAAGTTTTGAGATAATTTTATCCTGCAAGACTGTGACTATGCAATAATTGATAAATAATTTGACGTACCTAGTTTTATCGATAGTATTTCTTTCCGTCGCCAATATCTAAGTATTGTTTTGAAAAGCTTCCAGCGGACAGAGCAGATGTTTTTAAGCTTTTCCGTAAGAAAATTTTGATCTAGAATCGAGAATTATTTTTAGATTTCATCATTTATCGAGATAAATGGCAAATTAGTGGGTTACTAAAATGACAAAATGAAAAAGTGTGCGCGTGCGAGTGTAGCTACTGTACAAGATGACATTTAAGTAAAAATAAATACACCATATAACAATTTGAATAATGTTTATTAGTAATATGGTAACACTCGTGATGCACACTTTTATTAGTGTCAACCATTACACACATTTATATAATAATAAATTATAAATTATATTTATAATAGCGTTAAAAATATGTATATTATTTAAAAACAATAATGTAATCAAAGTCATACTTCAAATATGACATGATTGGTTTGTCATTGCAATCATTAGCATTAGAATTGAACCTTCATAGAAGAAATGAAGTAATTGCTGATTAATAAATTCTATAATATTCGTTCACACAGTGGATTATGTTAAACACGCCTAACCGAATATTGTTTTCGCAACTTCACTAATTGTAATTGTGCAACGTCAATATTCATGTAATTAAAATTAACATACATTCATTAACTGTTTGTATTTTTTTTTACTTTTTTGCTAGCGATATAATCTCATTCTTTGAATAGTTGTAATATCAATCTTGCCTAAAAATATTTTCCTTTTATAACTTCAAAGCTTTATAGAGACTACGAGTAATATAGAAATAATTTCTAATCAATTAACTTACGTTTAGTACACGGCCTAAATGTTTAATTTGTTTTATTATTTTTGAGGAACAGAGTAAAATATTCTTCTGATTCAAGCATTTTTCATTAAAACAAGATTTGTATTAAGATATAACTTTAAAATGTTACTTTAATGTATTTATCTAAGCCGATTTTCTTGTTGATATCGGTATGCATACAACGTTAATACCGGTACGCATACAACGACAGAAATCTATTCACATATACAACGACTAATCACAATCGACTTGCATATAAATGATCTCATCGAGAGCGAATGACGAACAGTTTGGGCGTAACGGACTTCCGTTGCATTTGTACGGATTTACACCCTAGTCGCTAAAGGTTTCATATAACTTGCTTATTTGTTATAATTTCCTATTGCAACTGACAGTTGTTAATCAACAACATTGCTAAATGTCCTTAACTGGACAGTAATAAATATGATAATAAATAAAAAAAAAGTTATAATTCAGCTCAGATTTGTTTTAATATATACCTATATCACATGGATTGTCAATGGTACGCAGTGACATTGATCGAAATGGAAATGAAATGCGGTTCAAAGTAATTCCCAATATGTGGGCTAAACATTTGTAATAAAAATAAAGTATATTTTTCCTGAAAGCTAGTCCGTGGGCGATTTGAATTATAGCTCGAATGAAAATATATAGTGTGAGAGGTTTCTATTTTTTTATGACTCATGATATATTTGCAATAGGAACCGATTTTTAAACCATAATTAACTCAAAATCCTACATACTAAATCTATTTTTTCTCCGCGTTTAATGTTGATTTGAATTGTTTAATTTCTATATTTTTTCAATTAAACCAACCCTTTCAGGACCGTAATATTTAGAGAAAACTTCTAGAAGTCATGATTTTAAGAAATTTCTTTAAATATTATGGACCTGAAAAAGTAGTTTATTTATTTTAAAAATATTGAAATTTAGATGAGTCACGGCAAACTTTTAAAATTGAATCGTCATACATTTGAATTTTGCTACATATAATTGTTTATTGAGAAATTGATTATCTACAAAAATTGCCTCAAGGTAAAATGCCCTTGCACATATAACTAGTTTAGGAAATTTGAGTATATTCTGGAAACATATTTTTCATTCGTGTGTTACAAAAAAGTTTTTTCTTATAATTGCGGATTTAAATCATAATTAATAAATAGGCAATTTGAGCAATTTAAAGTATTTTTTGATCCTTTAGAATGTGGTTCTTCAAGCAGTTGTTTTATGATTTTTAAATTATATTTGAACAAAAAAAAAAACGTTTGAAAGTAATTCCTAATGTGTGGGCTGCTCTCTCAGAAGGCAGCTCTGTGGGCGAATTAAATTATAATTCGAATCAGAAAAAAATTATATGAGAGGTTTCCATCTGTTAGATTATAACCGCATTTCCCAAATGTTATTTTTACAATAGGAACCTATTTTTAACCTGCTGCTGCCAATACATCAAATATACATCAAATATTAAAATATTTTACAATTTTAAAACTTATATTGACTTGAAGTTATCCTACACAGATGATATTATTAATAACAAAAGCTGTACAAATAAATAAAAAATTGAAGATTTTCTAAATAAGTTATTAAAACCAGTTCTCATTGTACAAGGTATAACAGGGATCAAAAAATGTTGGCTTATACCTGCATTAGCCCCAATTAGACATTCACTAACTGTTTTTTTTTCTTCAAATTATATATTATCAGAAATTTTAAAACCTTCAACGATTAATTTTTTTGTATGTTATACTTTTTGTTCTGTATTCCAATTATTTACCTATACTTTTTCAACCCGATACGGTATCATTTTAAGCGCTCTAACTTTTATTATATTCTTATGCAATATAAAGTTTATTATACGAAAACGTAGCCATTTCTGAAAGGGATAAATTTTTATAGGTAAACGCGTATGGAATTGCTGAAAACCAATAAATTTTTGATATGCTATATTACTTGACCATATTTTTAAATTTACATAATAGAGTCGTGCGTACTGTAGCGATAAATGTACGAAAAATAAAATGTATGGTGGTATTGTTAGTTCAATATTATATATAAGATTGATATACAAATTCAAATTTAAATTAATATTTTTATTAATGATTTGTGTTTATTTTCTTTCAGAACTGTCATTTCCAAGATTTGCTGAGCCAATTCCTAATGTGACAGTAACTGTTGGACGAGATGCCTTACTGGCTTGTGTTGTGGACAATTTAAGAAATTATAAGGTAATAGAATAAAATTATTTTTTATAATATAACTTATTCATAAATACTATTTTTTATGGTTTAATTCATATAATGTTTATGTTTGCTGCTTAACATCAGTTAACAATAATCGGGTATTTGATTCATAAGTAGACATCATTTATATTACCATATTTCTATAGTTTTAGATAAAGAATTAAACCATAATCAATAGTTTCCAATAAAATATACTCATATTTTCAATAAATAATGTAGGGAATTTATTGAAAAACATTAATTATGTATAACAGCTATATTTAATTATTTTAAAATATAACTTATTTTTATATTTAAATTATATTATAAATTATTGTGACAAATTATTGAATCAATTTATAGAAAACCAGAAATTAAAACAGGTAGAGCGGGGCACAAAGGCCCAATTTGATTTTGAATAGTTTTTTGCAAACAATGTTTTGAAAACCAAACTAATTATACTAAAACAAATAACACATCAAAAAATTTAATATCTGACTTTGTTCAATAAAACTCCTAGATAATTCATAATTGTAGAAATGTGTTTTTTTACTATTTTTAAAAAATTTATCACTTGGTCCTTTTTACTCCTTTGGTGGGGTAAAATCTGATGGCTTTGGGGAAACAGGTCCAATGTTTCATTTTTAATTTAAAAGGTATTCTATAAAATAATAGCTACTATATTCAACCAACGCAAAATATAAATTCAATGGTTATATTATTTACAGTGATTATACTGTATACAACCTTGATCTGGTATTTTGCCAGAAATATTCATCAGCAGAGTTTATTATACTTATCTCTTGTAAACTAGTTTTTTTAAATTCATTTACTTTTTTATTTGTTATTTGTATTGTTTACATCTTTGCCAGGGAAAAGGTTCAGTTGGTCCTTTTTATCCCACCCACGTGTAAACTTTTATAGGGATTATATAAAAAAGACTGAATATAACTTAAAATTGCTAATATATCTTATAAAATAAATAAGTAATCTTTACTCAAAAAATATATTAAATTCTCGTGAAATAAACTACAGTGCTCACAACCAAAAAACTAAAACCGCTAAAAAATATTTTTGTGGTGGATTTCCAAACATCGTCTTTTATCTTTCGATAACAATTTTGTAAGAAACAAAGTGATGGCAGGTTGCAAATCTTTTTCCCTCTACATTCAAATTTTGTTGTAAAAAAAAATCTTAAAAAATTGTAAGAATCAAAGTGATGGGTGGTTGCAAATCTTTTTTCCTCTACATTCAAATTTTGTTGTAAAAAAAATCTTAAAAATTGTAAGAATCAAAGTGATGGGTGGTTGCAAATCTTTTTTCCTCTACATTCAAATTTTGTTGTAAGAAAAAAATCCTAACTAGTGGGGTGGGTGGCATCGTGCCTTAAGGCAAATTGCTGGAACTTCCCGTACCGTAACGAAATGTTCGAGGAATACTGAATGTTTTCAAATAGATTATTATAAATATTGTAACATTGTCTAATATTTATAAGAATTATATAAACTGAATTGCAAAGTTGAAATTATTTGTTTCAACAAAAAACTAAAAAAAAAAAAAAAAATCGAACAAAAATTTTTTTTTCCAAAATCAATTATTTTGTTAAGACAAGCAGAAAGTTTTTTGAATCATTCAAATCGGACGCTTAGTTCTCTCAAAAACTGCCATTTTTTACATATTTAGCTCCGTATCTTCGAAATGGCTGGGCCTGCCTTTGCCAAAAACTAATAAACACTTCTCCCAATCATTACTAATTGAATGTTTTTTAGATCATTCAAATCGGATACTCCGTTCTCTCAAAAATTCGATTTCTATTTTCCGCACTCTTTGCTCCGTATCTCCGAAACGGCTGGACCTGCCTTTGCCAAAAACTAATCAGCTCTTTTCCCTATCAATAGGAATCGAATGTTTTTTGAACCATTCAAATCGGTTGATCCGTGCGCCCTAAAACGTGACTGGAAATTTGTATCCACACATACATACACACACACACACACACATACACACACACACACACACACACATCCATTTTTTCTGAGGTATGCCAAAATGTTCAGAAACCTTCAAAACGTCGAGAAATGTAAAAATTTTCAATTCCGATTTTTGGCCCATTACAATAACTTACCCTACGGGAAGTTAAAAAATTGTAAGAATCAAAGTTATGGCTGGTTGCAAATTTTTTAGCCTCTTTTTTCAAATTTTTGTTGTTGAAAAAATCTTAACTTTACTTGTTTTTGAGATATCTGTGGTGAACCTCATACCTGAATGAATATAATTTATCAAATATCTATCATACATATATATATATATATATATATATATATATATATATATAATATATATGAGTGAGTTCTTGAGGGCGATACATCAAACAAAGAAAAGCCAAAGATTTATAAAATAATTTTTATTTCCAAACGTTTCGACATTCAATTTAATGTCATCATCAGTGGATCTAAAAACAGTATGAAAATTAGCATATCTAGGTAATTATAATATATGTGGATTTAAAAGTAACTATACAATAGAGAAAAATTAACAAACAGCAACACTTAACAACAAACCAAATATAAAAGATAGGAAAGGTAGTAGAGACTAGAATTAAATAAATAATTAAAAAGTATAGGCAAAAATATTTAGTATTAAAATATATACATACATACATAGATAATATACATATATATATATACAATACACACTATATACATATGTAGATACATAATATATATGTACATATAGTTAGTAATAATACAGAATGTTGTTCAGGATTAAGTTTAGATCGCTCAGTCTTTGCCAGACTTTAATTAGATTACACCAGTATAAAATTAAAGCACTTTTGATTAAGAATATGTGGATTACAACAAATATTTGAACTTAGAGTTGCACGATTGCCTATTAAGTTTACCTGCTATGGCAAACTACAATCAGGTAATAATGTGTGTTTGCAAACTCGCCAAGATATGAACGCTTCGGAACGTAATAACCGGGATGATTATCTTTGATATGTGACCAGAGTGCAATAGTGCGAAACACAGATCGCGATATCATAGGACTCTATTTGGATATATATGTACGATGACATTTCTGTTCCGAACTCAAGCCGACAATAAAACATAGTAATTTATTAGTTTTGTAGAATAATCAAATTAATTTTCGGTGATTAGTCAATTATGGCATTATTTTGGTCATCTAAATCTGCAAAAGACTCACAAAATGACATTTGTGTTCCAAACAAAAATTAATGATGAGCGACACTGTATTTTTTATTTGTATTGCGATCTTGATTATACTTTGCGTTGATTATTGATTAAAATTTATATTACAAGAAACATTATATTTTTATGTATATAAATTATAATATGTATTGATGTATGAAAAGTATTACTTAGAAATAAGTCAATTCTCTTAAGATCTATTAATTTAAATATTAACTTAAATCTCAGGATTTAATAATTTAAATAAAATTTGTTATAACTAGCCCCTGACTTCTCTATATTATTTAATTTTTGTAATAATGAAATTAATTTTCAAATATTATTCTGTTCATCAGAAATTTATAAGTCTGTGTATTTGCATAATTTATATATATATATATATATATAATAATTAGTATAATTAGTAATGCTGCCCAAAGGTAGGTCTGTGGACTGATGTAAACTCCACCTCAATTCAGGAAGAAATAGTTTAAGAAATGATTACTTGCCACTTTGCACTGCAGTAGTCGACATAAGCTATTTTAATTTGAAAACATATTTTTCATCTGCATTTTAAAGTAAAAATATGCATCGCTACTGCACAATGTCAGGTTGTCTATATATCAGATGAAATATATGTATTATATTTCATATGTATTATATATATATATATATATATATATATATATATATATAATCATATATTTCATCTGATATATAGATCATGTATATATTATATATAGATGATATATACTCAAAACACTATCTTATGTTTGGACCCTCGGGACATACGTCCTTTAACAGATATAAAATTGTCGTAAAGTATAAATGGTATATACAAAACTCTTCTATTTTTCTGAGAATATTTTTTGTTTAGGTTAAATAAGTAATAATAAATAGTAGTCGGCTCTAAGGCAGGTTCATGGTATGAGAGCTTCACAAAATCAATGTTTTTATCCCCTCCCTTGTTTATTATTTGCTTTATGTTTTAATAACCATTAATCACTTTATATTCGTTTTTGATAAATATGTATATGATAAAATATACTTATATATTATATATATATATATATATATATATATAATTAAATATGATAAAAAAGAACTTATGATTCAATATATGTCATATTATAATTTATTTTATTTGTTACATCAATATATATATATATATATATATATATATATATATACAATTATTTATTTATATTTCTTATTGTCTTGCTCGCCTAAGATTTCGTTACAACCGAGAACAGAAGTCAAACTGAGGTCATTATGTCAGAAACTATCCATGGACCAAACTTCCTAGACATGGTTGTTTTGTGCCGTTATTATACACACTGGTCACATAGAACTAATAATCGCCACAGACATAATATTACCAGTGAATTTCTGCACACGTGTATTTATGCACATGGAATTCTATATGTGTACACATGGCCGTATAAAGTTTTCGAACTCACATTATCACCTTGTATTCTGGATTTAGGCAAACTGTGATCCCAGATTTAAACCTTGGATTAAATTCAGAATATCTTGGAAGTTAAACCTCGCCTACATTTCGTGGAAGCGATAGTTTAGATGTCTTTATTACATATTAAGAGATCACTGTAATACCTATATAATGCTAAACGGAAACCGGAATATATTTGGATGACTTATGTCAGAGATTTAAATAACTAAAATTCTTTTGAGAATGATATAAATTTCAAACGTTGCTATTTTTTGAAATCCTGTAACTAAATTTTAATACAAACTGTATTTAATTTCAGAAGTTTGTTTATTTTACTCAAGAAATCATACAAATTAATATAAATT